GCTTCATGTCTGAATAAATTGCAGGAAGACTATTCTACCATAATCGTGTCTGGGACGTTAACATTAATGACTTTTCGATATTACAGTGAACGTTCTCCCCATGAATAATGCAAAGAAGCACGGGCCCGACGTCTCAGACTCCAAGACTGTGTCGAACTGGATTTTGTTTCCCACAGATGGTGCCAAACTAATGTGTGTCGGAAGATTCACATCACTAGAGTAATAATTTAGTATCTTAGCGTTGGGCGAATATCATACACATAGATAAAAGAAAAATAACAGGATAAGACATCACATAAACACTTTGGAAAAAGGAAAAAAAATCAAGGGGCCTAGTCCAATTGGAAAACCCACTATGTAATTGTAAATACGTGGGCCCACTCTCCTTTTGAATAAGAAAATATGAAATTACAATACCGATGTACAACAATAATTCAACACTAATAGTTCTGACGGGCCGCAACAATTGTAGTTGATCACTATGAAGACAATAACATGTCATAAATGTTGTAGACTATGGATGTAGCACCGGCTTATCACAGAGGTCGTAGTTGAAATATGTGGTAGTAGTTGGTCAAAATAAGTCATAGATGATTGCTTCAGAAACATTGATTAGCCTTAGAGGCCATAGTAGGGAGTTGTAGGAGCCGAGTCACATAAGTTGTAATTGCTCACATATGTCATAATAGTGAGTTGTGATAATGTTTGTAAGTCATAAAAGACGGAGTTGGGAGTTGCATGTGCTGTGGACCAGTTAAGTCGTAATTAGTCAAATAGGTCATAGTGGTGAGTTACAATAACGTCTGTAGGCCATAAATGACGGAGTTGGAAGTTGCATGAGTTGTGAACCATGAAGGTCATAATTGGTCACATGATTATAGCAGTGAGTTGCAATAACACTCTTCGGCCATAGAGGCCAAAGTTAGGAGTTGCATGGGGTGTGGACCACATAAGTCATAATCCATAGAGGCCAATAGTTATTCGTGGACACCTTAGTGGTGAGCTGCAATGACATTCATAAACCATATAGGTTCAAGTTGGGAGCTACATTAGCAGTCAGCCACCTAGGCCATAATCGGTCACATATGTCGTAGTGGTGTGTTGCAATAACGTTGGTAGGCCACATAGGCTGGAGTTGGGAGATGCTTGAGTTGTGGACCACATAAGTCATAACGGGTCATTTCAGCCGTAATGGTGAGCCACAATAACATTCGTAGGCCATAAAAGTCAGAGTTTGGAGCTACATGAGTTGTGATAGACGTAGATCGTAGTAATGAGTTGCAATAATATGTGTATACCAAAATTTTCGGAGTTGGGAGCTGCATGAGCTATGAATCACGTAAGTCATAGTTGATCTTATAGGCCATTGTGGTGAGTTGTAATAATATTTAAAGGCCACAGGCCAAAGTTGGGAGCTGCATGAGTTGTGAATTACGTAGGTCATAGTTGGTCACATAGAAGATAATGATGGGTTATAATAATGACCGTAGATCATAGAGACTGATTTGGGAGCAGCATGAGTTGTAGATCACATAAATTGTAGTTGGTTACATGTGTCTTAGTGGCGGGTTGCAGTAAAGTTTGTAAGCCACAAATGCTGGAGTTGGAAGCTGCATGAGTCGTGAATCACGTAGGTCATAGTTGGTCACATAGAAGGTGGTGGTGAGTTATAATAATGATCGTAGATCATAGAGGCTGAGTTGGGAGTTGTATGAGTTGTAGATCACATAAATTGTAGTTGATTACATGTGTCTTAGTGGCAGGTTGTAGTAACGTCTGTAAGTCAAAAAGGTTGGAGTTGGGAGTTACATGAGCTATGAGCTACATAGGTCGTAGTTGGTTACATAAGTTGTAGTGGGAAGTTTTAGTAGGGTTAGTTGACCGCCAAGGACGTAGTAAGGGGTTGAAGTTGTAGTGAACAACAAATTGTAGGTTGTAATGAAGAGTTGTGACGAGAGAACTTCAGGACTTTGGAGAAGATCACCATATTCTAAGTATGACGGTTGTAAGTAGTTATTACACAGAGTTACACCGTACTCGGGGTGTGTTATTACACCATAGGATTTATCAACGTTAGCGAACAGGCAGGTCAACGACAACCAGCGAGCGGTAATCAAAGGTGGTCAACGACTGTGGGGACATAAAATGTTCGTCAAGTCTTCGGTACAAAATAATAATAGATATCAACTCCTCTTGATCGATGGACCTGCTCCAGGTTCCTCTTTCTTGATGGGGGTAGGGTTTTATTTATAGAGTCTGGGAATATCTCCCTTACAAATGAGAATGGGAGCACTCCATCAAACGATCCAGAGAAATTATCACGATCAGATGACGTTTTGTGGAGATTTAAGTACTTTCATACTATCAGAATTGAGTTATCTTAGGATCATTGGATTTGTCTCACTAAGTAGCTTGATTTATTATAAGCTTGTGATCCGGTCAGCCAATTTTACTGTATGTTTTTGAAAATCGA